ACCAAACTCACAATATCCCACTCGAGCCTACACAAGTAAACACAACAGGGAAGATGCATTTTCTCCCCAAAAGCAAGAAGCCCACACCGCAGGGTGCAGGGAAACGAGTTTCTGGGCTGCCCAGCCAGCAAGGGGGGGCCAGCCCTGTCTGTGTTGGCGCTTTGCTTTGCAGGAGGGCTGCAGTCAGACCTGTTCGTAGTCGGTGCACACATCAGCGAGCAGAGCAGGGCTCGTCCCGCAAAGAAATGAGCCACTTTGGAAGAGAAAACCCACTCATGGGGACCCCCCCTGCCCCAGCACAGGCACTTCCCCAGAAGAGTGTTTCACTTTGCAGGGAAATGAACCGAAAGAGGTTTTGCAGGGAAAGCCCGCTCCGCTTGCCGCCGAGGTTTGCTCTTCCCTTCCTGCACACAGGAGGCTCCCACGGCCTGGCAGCTGCCCAAAGCCAACCCAAACCCAACCACTGCCGCTAACTACCACCACCACGGCACAAGAAGCCTCCCACCCGCTGCCGTCACCAGACGCCCCAAACAGCATCAGGACAAGCTTGACACGAAGGACTCTCCTACCTGCTCCAGCCGCGCCAGCTCCTCCAGAGCACTGAGGTGAGGAGATGCTGCCGAGGCAGAGGGGCTGCCCATGCCCCAGGTGCAGCAGCTCTTCATCAGTAGGTAATTAATTAGTGGGCTCAGCTGCAGGGGAGCAGCCACAGCCTGGCTGGGGGGAGCTGGGCAGGGGCAGCCAGCAGCCCTTGTTGGGGTACAGGGGGTACCCAGGTCCTGCTCCCCATCCCGAAGGGAGGGATCTCACCATATCCTTAGCTTTTCCTCAGAGCGAGCCCACCCCATGGCACGACCAAGGGTCCCGTTTCCCCCCTGCACAGCACCCAGCTGGGACAAGAGCTGGCACGAGGGTGGTCGTCCCAAGAGAGGAGAAAGCATCAGGTCCCGAAGACAGGCAAAACCATCATTGTTGAGATCAAGGATTTATTTACATGTCAAGGAAAACTCTCACCCAGAGTCACGTGAGGAGGAAAAATCAAACAAACCCAAAGGACCAAGCCATTTGCCTCCTGAACGCAAACGCTCGCGCTCCCCAGCACACCTGGCCACCTCAGAGGGCAGCCAAATGCCTTCTCACCTCCTTCTCCGCAAGGAGAAACCGAAGGCATGATATTTTTTTAGTTATCTGCGCCACAGAAAACACAATCTGAAAATAAAAACCACCTCTCCAAAGAAATCCGCCCATGCGTGAGCAGATCACAGAGCACCCCTCGCTCTGCCACAGAGGAAAGGTCCGAGGGGCAGCACATCTAGTACTCGTCCAAGGTATCTGCCCGTGGGACGGAGAGGCCCCGCTCCTTCAGCGCCTGCACCTTCAGCTTCTCTGACTCCTGCTTGGCCTGCTGCTCCACCCGCTGCTCCTCCAGGATCTCCTCAATAGAGACCTGCTGCAGTGGTGTGTCGCTCTCCTTTTCCAGGTCCTGCAAGAGAAACAGCCCGTTTAGCACCGTAAAGGAGCCGCCACGGCCGAGACACACAGCTCTGCTCATGGGATGCTCCAGGCGCTGCTCTGCCCACAGCGCAGCCTGGGGCTGGGCCGACGTCGCCTCTGCCGAGAGCATCTCACCAGCCAGGGCAGGGCTGGTCTGGAGGGGCCAAAAACCAGTGGGGATGGCAGAGGTCTGGGGTGGATCTGCACTCGCGTCTCTGCTGGGGCACTGACATACACCCCTCTCATGTGCTAGGGCTTCAGTGATGTCCGAGCACTTCCTACAAGCGCCTGGCCAGGCTCCGTGCTCCTGGTGGGGGGGAGCAGGCATCGCTGCACACAGACAATGTGCTCCATTGCTCTTGCCAAAGTTGTTGGAGCGGGACGGTTCCCAAGGCGAGCAGCCGAGCCATGGCAGGGTCTGCCTCCCAAGCTCTGGGCTTACTAGCTCAAAGGCAACCCAGGGATTTGGTCCTGTAAACACTCGGTTCTCCCTGGGTCACGGTCACAGATTTGTGCGTGCAGGACAGTCTCCTCCAGGCCAGCCCTGGAGGCCCCTGGCTGCGGTGAGCCTGTGCCCACACATCTTCCACGAGTCCCATCAAAAGGCAGAGGCGATGCAGAACAGAGGTGCTGGAGGCAGCCCGACGAGCGGGGATATGGGCAGGGACCCTCGGGACAACCAGGGACACCCGGGACAGCTGTCCGTGGCAGGGGGCTCCCGGGGAGCAGCCGGGCTGAGCTCAGCCCAAAGGGCTGAAGCAAACAGCAAGTGAGACGGCACTCAACTCTTCCCAAGCTCATCCCAGACGGTGTCCCCTGGTGCCAAGCCAGCAGGGAGGTGACAGCCCCAAAGGCAGCCACTAATGACACCCTCCAGCAATGCCACACACAGGCCAGGGCTTCCCCACATCTCCCTCCGCTCGCCAGCCCATGTGTTGCTCTTTACCCCTCACATCATCCCAGAGGAGCTGCAGCTGCGGGACAACACCTTTTGTCCCTGCCCTCGGATACACAGGGACATTTTTCAGGATGGTTCAGCTTGAACCAGCCCCGGGAGGGGCCTCAAATTTCAGCCTCTGCAATGGGACAGTGACTGTATTTCACAGCAGACAGACAGATGGACACCCAGCTCCGGTGTCCGCCTCGGCACTACTGCTTGGAGTCGCATCACCACAAACACACCAGCTCAGTCCCAGACCGCAGCAGAGCCGCTGCCCCGGGCTGGCAGCAGGCAGAAGGAGCCGCTTACTTACTATTTCCCCCAGCAGAACAACATTCTCGCCTCTCACAACAAAGATGCCTCGAGGGATGTCCCCATACTTCTTGCCCACGTGGATGCGCTCCACAGTCTGGTGCAACACCAAGTTTGCTGCAGCAGTCGAGAGAGAGAGAAAATAATCCATATTTTGCTGTGTTTTCTAGCTATGAAGAACATCTCATCCCAGCCAGGCAGAAAACCCAGAGCAGCGATGGCACCGGCATTTTCATACCTCTCAGCAGGTCCTCTGAGCCAGATCACCAAAGGCACCGACCCCTCTCTCTGGCTGAAACGCGGCAGCTGCAGCGACGGACGCAGCACCTTGGGAGCAGCGGGGCAGCTCCCGTGCCACAAGGCAGCCTCTGCCCCCCAGCTCCGGCAGCCTGCACAGGCAGGGCAGCGAGCTCAGACCACCAGGGCCTGAGCCCACGCGAGCACCACGTGCCGAAAACAGCGGAGAAAACAAGGGTTGTTGGTGCTGGAGGTTCTGGGCAAGGACCAAGACACTTGCTTGTGAGCACAAATATCACCCGCATGTGTGTCAGGCTGTTTCTGCCCAAAAAGGGATGCCAAGGCATCAATGCTGGACACAATCAGAAGCCGGGGGGAAGCACCCAGTTCTGGGAAAGTCTCCGTGAAGCACCAAGTCCGGGGGGTACACGCAGGCGGGTGTTTAATCCACAACACAAACACGCTCTGAAAACACGACCTGTAATCACGTCGCTCTGCGCGCTACTACACTGATTTCTTGTAACGCTCGTGTTGTTTTTAGCCAAGGAAACGCGCGCTCCTGCACGGGCACGTGGCGGGGTTGTTACTGCAGGCAGCGCGGCCGCTGCACGAAGCGGGGACCACAAAACGAAGAAACTCTCTCACCGAATCCAAACTCCCCCTTTACCGTTAAGTCACTGTTCGGGAAGGGAGCTGCTCCGGTCGGCATGGCCCCGGTGGGCAAGGGAGCATCGCCCAGCTCATGCCAACGGGCACGGCGGGGCTCTCCTCCTCTTCCTCGCCAGCCCCTGCACACGGCTGGCACCGGAGCGCATCCAAAGCCCGGCCTAAACCTTCGGCACCCCCCAGCAGCCCCCCGCCCCCAGCACAGACATACCGAACTGGTCGATGCTGCGCAGGTACCCGATGAGCGTCCGGCCGTCCCGTAGCAGGACCAGGTGCTTCTCTGCGGTAGAGGGGAGAGCGGGAGGGTCAGCCACGGCCACGCGTGGGCATCAGCACCCCCCGTGTCGTGTCGTGCCCCCCCCCCTCCCAATACAGCGTGGGGAAGCCAGTAACGTGCGGGTAACTGTCCCAGCAGCGCCAAGGGGAGAGAGGACGCCTTCGGCTGCAGCCCCACGCGGGACCGGCGCCCACGGCGTGGGGGGAAGCAGGTCCGTGGGGAAAAGAAGGGAGTCCAACCCCCCCTCCCACGGGAGACGGTACCCTCGGGGAAGGGGGTCCCCAGCCGGCCCGCTGCCGGAGAGGCCCGGCGCCGCGGAGCACTCACTGTCGATGTCCTGGATGAGGCTGGCCGTGCCGGGCATGTAGTTCATGGTGCCGCCGCGCCGCCCCCAGCGGAAGCGCCGCCATGCGCC